GTGTGTGTGGGACCATGTACCCCAGTGAGAGTCAGTGTGAGTGTGGGACCCCATACCACAGTGAGAGTCAGTGTGTATGTGGGACCATGTACCCCAGTGAGAGTCAGTGTGAGTGTGGGACCCTGTACCCCAGTGAGAGTCAGTGTGAGTGTGTGGGACCCCGTACCCCAGTGAGAATGTGTGTGCGCGCGCGTGTGGCACTCTGTACCCCAGTGAGAGTCAGTATGAGTGTGGGACCACGTACCCCAGTGAGAGTCAGTATGAGTGTGGGACCCTGTACCCCAGTCAGAGTGACGATAGAACATATTTGATGACTGTATCTGGTTGGTAATGACAGACATGGTGTTGAGCGAATTGTGTTTTGCCTGTGATATTTTCAGGGACAATGGGGCCCAGTTTAATTTCAATTTCGATTCAACATTACTCCATGATTCAGGCTGTGGCCTCTGACCTGATGCAGTTTTCAGGATCACCATCGCAGTCTGTGTTGCAGCGGAAGCGTTCCCATGCCAACCATCCCATGGGTGGGGTCCTCATGAGGCCATTGTCCAATGACAGGCTGCAGCTGGAGAGTAGTATCACGAGGAATGCTAGGAGTAGCTCCATCCCCCACAAAAGCCCTCTGACCTGTTCCATTGGTAACAGAAACACCATGTTAGAACGGCACAGGAAAAGGCCATTTGGCCCATCATGGCTGTGGCAGCTCTTTTTAAGAGCTCTCCAATCACTCTCACCCCCTCAATCCTGTAATGTTTAAACTTTAAGTCTTATTTCTTTATTTTCTACGTAAAACTAAGAAGCTGTCACTCTACTATAATTACTGCAATGTTTAATTTTTAACTTCGTTCTTTCTTTCTGATTTGTTCTAGGTACTTGTATCTTGTGTGGTGACATTATACACTTTTCACTGTGCTTTTGTACTTGAGTACATGTGACAATAAAATCAAAATCTTTTGCCCATATCACAGTAAATTTGATCACTGCCAGTCTTTATCCAGTTCCCCGTTGACAGCTGTTCGTGTATCTATTTCCACAGCCTTTCTAGATGTTACGACCCCAATCTCAACAACTCTGAGTCAACATTCTCTGATTGTTGCATTTGATATTTTTGGCCAGTACCTTAACTCTGTGTCCTATGGTTCCCCAAACTTCCAGCCAATTGAGAAAGTTTCACAATTTCTCTATTTAAACAATTAAATCTCCCCTGAGCCCTTCGCTGCTCAAAAGTGAATATTCCCATGTCTCTGTGTAACTAAGGCCTAAATCAGTCTACTTTATTTTAGAGATAACAAGGTGTGGAGCTGGATGAACACAGCAGGCCAAGCAGCATCATAGGAGCAGGAAGGCTGACGTTTCGGGCCTAGACCCTTTTCTGAAGAAGGGTCTAGGCCCGAAACATCAGCCTTCCTGC